CTCTCTCTCTCTCTCTCTCTCTCTCTCTCTCCCTCTCTCTTGCACCCCCTTCTCTTTCTCTTCACACACAAGAACATGCATGCAAATACATGCTCATTTTTGCTAGTGAGTTGTAGAATAAAATGCTGAAAACCTAAGATTCTCCTGTGGTAGATCCTTACTGTGTCCATTTGGTATTGTTCATTTCTTGTTTCCTATAATGCCGCTAGACTGTCTTCTGCAGTATTTGGTGATCCTGCCACACTTTTGCTGGATTATGAGGGAAGAGTTTAAATGAGCCACTCATCAAAATAATAGTAGGACTTGGATTGCCCACATATTTACATATTTAAATGATCCTTTAGGTTTTCTGTTTCTTCTCAGTATCTGGTACCTCCTACCAGCACAGGTACCGGGTAACTTTGTCCACCAATGGGAAGAAATCGCCTAGTGTTTTTGTCAACCGCTAGGATTTGAACCTGAGACCACACACTGGGGGCAACTGTTAAAATGTCCAAGACAATATGCGTCGTTTAACATTCCATCTTTCACTTGAGAGGGTGTGAATGAGAGAATTAAATGGAAGACTACATGAACTCTTATGTATTACAGTTATGCCATTATATGGACCCGGCCTTCACATCTTTGCAATTAGGTTTTCAAGAAAGCTCAAAGAAACTATTCCTTTAATGAATGAAAATTCAATTGAATTTGCGTTGTCTAGACCTTGGGATGTTTATGATCAAAATATCTGGATGGTCGGGTTATGCAGTTATTTCAAGAAACTAAATATTAGTTAGTAGGAGCCTGAAGTTCATGGGATTTATCATCCAAATGGTTGAGAGACATGAAGATTTGCTAATAACCTTGTCTGCTGCCCAGGGATTATAATTGTAAGCATTCAAATAAATGGCTGGGCTGAGTGGTGTAATAACTAATAAATTATTCTTGCAGTCAATATTGAATTCCCCGACAAGAATGGGTTGCTCTAGTGGTGAGCACCCTCCACTTCCAACCAAGAGGTTGTGAGTTCGAGTCACTCCAAGAGCAAGGTGGGGAGTTCTTGAAGGAGGGTGCCGAGGGTCTATCGGAAACAGCCTTTCTACCCCAGGGTAAGGGTAAGGTCTGCGTACAAACTACCCTCCCCAAACCCCACTAGTGGAATTATACTGGGTTGTTGTTATTGTTGTTGTTGTTGTAATATTGAATTCCCCATTGCTAGGAGCCTCTCCGCCTTAACATTTATGGGTCGTTTGGTAGGAGGTATTAGAAAATATAATGCAAGTATTAACTCTGTGCATTACTAATACCTTGTTTGGTACATTTTTTTAACCTGTGTATAACTAATACTTGCATTAGTTATACATCATGCTTGGTATTAGCCTATGTATAAGTAATGCATAGAAAACCATGACATTAGTAATACCAAGGCTATTAATGCATGCATTAGTATGGTTAAAGACAAAATTGTCCTTAAAGTTCCTTAAAGCTAGAGAATATGGAGGGCATGGGCATTTTTGTAAACAACTATTTTCTTAAAAATTATGCAATGCATTATAATTTTTAATACGCCACACCAAACAGTTTATAAGAAATAATATCTGCATAACTAATGCTTGCATTACTAACCCATGCATTACTAATCCCTGTGTTAGTTTACATCATGTATATAGTGTAGTATTGTCCCACATTGGTAGATGAGTAGTATGTCCTTGTATAGTATAGCTATAAATAAGGACCTCTTGTATTGTATTGAACATTAAATATCAATAATATATTTTCTCCCGTGCTTTCTCACATGGTATTAGAGCAATTATGAGAGACTTATCGCTGTGCATAAATTCCAGCGATTCCGAGAAAGAGAAATCAGTACTTTTTTAAGGCTGTTTTCTATTTGCTTCATTTCTGTCAGTGTTGTGCAAAATACAACACTACCACAAGAGTCGTCACTGTCCGACGACCAAACCCCAGTGAAAAGCTCTGGCAGCAACTTTCTTACGCGCCTCCACGCGCCACCAGAAGCTCACGCGCCGGCGCGAACGACCACTTCCGGCCATTTTTGAAAATCTTCCTTCAGAACAGTTGGGTCGCCTGGTAATTCCGATCCTACCCCTACTGTTTTCATTTCATTCTGACAACTTTGAGTTTTTTCCGGCGCTACAGTACTATTCCGACAGCTACAGTAGATTCCGGCAGCTACAGTATTTCAGTATTCTGTTTCTGTGTTTCCGTACTCTGTTTCAGTGGATTATAGTTGATTCTTTCTCTTATTTGGTAATAATTTGCAGCAATGTCTTTGGGATTTGATGCTTTAATGGGAGGTTCAAACTACTTAGCTTGGGCTTCATCTGTCGAGTTGTGGTGTAGAGGTCAAGATGTTCAAGATCATCTAATCAAACAGTCTAGTGATGGAGATGAAAAGGCAATAGCACTTTGGGCAAAAATCGATGCTCAGTTATGTAGCATCTTGTGGCGATCTATTGATTCCAAGTTGATGCCCTTGTTTCGTCCATTCCAGACATGTTATTTGGTTTGGGCAAAGGCACGCACCTTATACACTAATGACATATCTCGCTTCTATGATGTGATATCGCGGATGACAAACTTAAAGAAGCAGGAATTGGATATGTCTACTTACTTGGGTCAAGTACAGGCAGTCATGGAGGAATTTGAGAAGTTGATGCCAGTTTCTGCTAGTGTGGAAAAACAACAAGAGCAGCGACAGAAGATGTTTCTCGTTCTTACCCTCGCTGGACTTCCTAATGATCTTGATTCAGTACGCGACCAGATTTTGGCTAGTCCGTCTGTCCCGACAGTTGATGAATTATTCTCTCGATTACTCCGCCTTGCTGCAGCACCAAGTCCACCAGTGATCTCATCACAGATACTTGATTCCTCTGTTCTTGCATCCCAGACAATGGATGTTCGGGCATCTCAAACTATGGAGCATAGACGAGGAGGAGGTCGTTTTGGAAGATCTAGACCCAAGTGTTCTTATTGTCACAAACTTGGACACACTCATGAAATGTGCTATTTCTTACATGGTCGTCCACCCAAAAATGCTTATATTGCTCAGACCGAGACTCCAGGTAACCAGGGATTTTCTTTATCTAAAGAAGAATATAATGAGCTCCTTCAGTATCGAGCAAGTAAGCAGACATCTCCACAAGTAGCCTCAGTTGCTCAGACTGATACTTCTGTTACTGGTAATTCTTTTGCTTGTGTTTCCCAGTTTAGCACTCTTGGCCCATGGGTCATGGACTCAGGCGCTTTTGATCACATCTCTGGTAATATATCACTTTTGTCAAATATTGTATATTCACAGTTTCTTCCCACTGTTACTTTAGCCAATGGATGTCAAACTAAGGCAAAAGGAGTTGGACAAGCTAATCCCTTGTCTTCTATCACCCTAGATTCCGTTCTTTATGTTCCTAGCTGTCCTTTTAGTCTTGCATCTGTTAGTCGTTTGACTCGTGCTCTCCATTGTGATATATATTTTATTGATGATTCTTTTATTATGCAGGACCGCAGTACGGGACAGACAATTGGTACATGACGTGAATCAGAAGGCCTTTACTATCTTAACTCACTCAGTCTTTCCACAACATGTCTAGTTACAGATCCTCCAGATCTAATCCACAGACGTTTAGGACATCCGAGTTTATCCAAACTTCAGAAGATGGTGCCTAGTTTATCTAGTTTGTCTACATTAGATTGTGAGTCGTGTCAACTTGGGAAACATACCCGAGTCTCCTTTTCGCGTAGTGTTGAGAGTTATGCAGAGTCTGTCTTCTCCTTAGTTCATTCTGATATATGGGGTCCTAGTAGAGTCAGTTTATCCTTGGGATTTCGTTATTTTGTTAGTTTCATTGATGATTATTCAAGATGTACTTGGCTTTTCTTAATGAAAGATCGTTCTGAGTTATTTTATATATTCCAGAGTTTCTGTGCTGAAATCAAAAACCAATTTGGTGTTTCTATTCGCATTTTTCGCAGTGATAATGCCTTAGAATATTTATCTTCTCAATTTCAGCAGTTTATGACTTCTCAAGAAATTATTCATCAGACATCTTGTCCTTATACCCCTCAGCAAAATGGGATTTCTGAGAGAAAGAATAGGCACCTTATTGAGACTGCTCGCAACTTCTAATTGAATCTCGTGTTCCGTTGCGTTTTTGGGGCGATGCAGTTCTCACAGCTTGTTATTTGATTAATCGGATGCCTTCATCTCCCATCAAGAATCAGATTCCGCATTCAGTATTGTTTCCCCAGTCACCCTTATACTCTCTTCCACCTCGTGTTTTTGGGAGCACGTGTTTTGTTCATAACTTAGCCCCTGGGAAAGATAAGTTAGCTCCTCGTGCTCTCAAGTGTGTCTTCCTTGGTTATTCTCGTGTTCAGAAGGGACATCGTTGTTATTCTCCAGATCTTCGTAGGTACCTTATGTCAGCTGACGTCATATTTTTTGAGTTTAAACCTTTCTTTACTTCTGCTGACCACCATGATATATCTGAGGTCTTACCTATACCGACCTT